TGAAGAGGGGGATGGGTTCAAATGAAAACACGAGAAAGATTATTGTTATCAAACTGTGATATATAACAAACTTTATTGAGGTTAGAGAAAGTGAAACCTCAATGCAGAAGAACTTTAATACCAACTACAAACCAATCCACATCATGATCAAAATAAAAAATGTGGACAACATTCAAAGATACTGTTGAATTGTTTTTAGACAGAAGATAGAGGATTGACAAGTCCCAAAGCAAGCTTTGGATAACAAAAAAGATCCAAACGTCCAACTCCCAACTCAAATAAAACATATTTGATTTTCATCAACCCTGCGTAATTTTGATGTCTAGCTCCTTTGCAGACTAATANAAGATCCAAACGTCCAACTCCCAACTCAAATAAAACATATTTGATTTTCATCAACCCTGCGTAATTTTGATGTCTAGCTCCTTTGCAGACTAATAACTTGTGATTTACATTCACTTTATACGGAAAAAAAATCAAATGTACAGTTAAAGGAAGTATCAAAACCATCCACCTGTGATGGTCGCAGAAGCAAAAATAAAATGAAATACACCAAAAAAAAGCCTTACTTCTTGTAAGGGGAATGAATCTTCTCATTCATCAAATCACATGAATAATAATAGAGGATTGACAAGTCCCAAAGCAAGCTTTGGATAACAAAGAAGATCCAAACGTCCAACTCCCAACTCAAATAAAACATATTTGATTTTCATCAACGCTGCGTAATTTTGATGTATAGCTCCTTTGCAGACTAATAACTTGCGATTTACATTCACTTTATACGGAAAAAAAAAATCAAATGTCCAGTTAAAGAAAGTATCAAAACCATCCACCTGTGATGGTCACAGAAGCAAAAATAAAATGAAATACACCCAAAAAAAACCTTACTTCTTGTAAGGGGAATGAATCTTCTCATTCATCAAATCACATGAATAGGAATAGAACAAGGAACATAAAAGTGGCCATTTCAAATCTATACAAAGTGAAACTAATAAACAATAACATTCATATTTTTGAAACTAACAGTCATTTGTGATTGTTTCAGATTTTGCCTTTGTATCCCCCTTCATAAGTTCTTCTACATATCTCCTATTTGATGAGTGTTTCAGATTTTGTCTTTGTATCCCMYTGYTGTGTTATTCATATGGTATGAAACCGGCTTTTTGTTCATAAATTAATGAACCAAAAGCAACAACAACTCTATATAACAATTCTTGCCTCTCAAATTTCCTTTTCAAATCAAACTTAACAAAACATTTGAGTCAGATTTTGCTTTCTTTATCATATCTTTTTACACTAAAATAGAGGACCATAGCTTATATGATATTTGAACAACAGTACTAGCTCAAATTGAAAACTCAAAAACACAATTCAACATATTGGTTGTTTAATTAATATCTTTTTCTTCTTCAATCATTCAATGAACCAAAATAGGAGTACTTTTAGGATGAAACTAAAAGTTGGAAACAAACCTATAAAGTGAGCACAAAACAACCACCGTGTTCATCGATCGTCTTCTAAACAGTCCTGAAAACAGATAATCTGAATGAACAAAGGAATGCAAGATTTATTGATTTATGCCACAAACAGATTGAGAGATGAGAGATAGAGATGAAGCGTGAACCAAAACGCATGAACATGTAATGATATTTAGCTACAAAAACGAAATGAAGAACCTGAGTTTTGAAAAACATGTAAACCAAATGAATACATCAGGGAAATCGCTAGGGTTTTGAAGAACCTGTGGAGAAATCAAAACTTCAAATTTATGTTATATGCACAGATGAGGTCGTCTTGGGAGCCACGAATTTGATACATCAAATCGCCCATTTGTGCAAAGGTAGCAGGAATGGAAGAAAGCAAGGTCTAAACTTACCAAATGGGTGTTCTTGCACAGGGGAAAGCTGGAAAAGGAAGAAGAAGAGAAGAAAGCCTTGTCTGACCTCACCCAAATATGTTTTGGCGGAAGGGGAGAGCTGGAAAAAGAAGAAGAAAGTCTGAAAATGTTAGAGAAGAAGACTTAACATCGATTTAACCATTAGAGTTAAAAGTCAATGCATCAACAAGTTGTACATTATGCTTTATAACTTGTTATTAAGAGTTTTTTGAATTTGTTGCATAAAACCATTGTAACTTATGCTTTAGGAGTTGTAATTAAGATATTGACCTAAATGGTTATATATGTAGTATAGATAAAATAATATAGACTCTTGGGAGCTTCTTAGATGGAGAAAGTGTGATAATGAAAAATTAATTGCATATTATATGAGTAAAGTTTTTTTTTATTTGACATCCTATAATAATTTAAGAGGCAATGTACGAAGTCCATTCGAGATTCTTTAAATCCATTAAATTAAAGAGCAAATTATTTGAAAAAATAGCGTTCTTATTTTGTCTAATATACCATAAAAACCTTCATTTTGTTACTTAAAATGTGACAATCTAAACATTTAGATACCTATTTTACCTAATAACCTACAAATAATGACTAGGATAAGGTCTTTACCGACATAGCATAAAAGTCTATTTTTAAAATACGAGCTAAGCAGAATAAAATCCATGTCAATATTGTTTAAAAAAATATAATTTCACAACAAATTTTCATATCCTTATTTTTTAAATTGCAAACATTAAATTTTAACTTAAAAAAACACTTTCACATGATTATTTTTGTAACCTTTTAAACTTTTTATTTTTAAGCCTATTGTATATTTTATACTTTAAAAGTAGAACCTACCCATTGTTGTTTGTAGATCATCCATTAAAGTTTTTGAAGATCATGACCCATCTCGTTTCTCATCAATCTTTAGGATTCTGCATATGCTTCATCAAATGTTCACCCTATCTTGTTTTTCATCCATCTTCAAGATAATATTTTGTATCTTACCACCAACCATTCCTTCTAGATCTGCATATGCTTCAAATGTCCCTTTATTCACTGTTACTACTCCTCGATTGTGCTGCTATGTTTGTCAGCGACCTACTTGTTTAACCAAGATTCCAAACTACATATGCTTGTGATTAAGAATCTTTTGGTGAAATCTTAAATCCTACTTAACCTCTTTCATATTTGTTGTATATTGGAAAGAACACGATAGAAGATAAGAAAATTTAGGATTTTGTGGTAGATTGGAGAAAATGAATGGATAAGCAAACAATCAGCACATATTTTCATTTTTTGTGTACACAATTATAATAATAGTAAATAAAATGTACATATATTTTTAAAATTAATTTTGCATTAAAGAAAATCCCAATCATTTGCCATGTCAACAAATTATAATCTCAAGTTATATACTATATATGTCATTAGCCACATCAATACGGTAACCAAGTATTTAAATGTTTGAGATTTCACATCTTTGGAAACAAATTAAAACTTTTAAATGTATGTTATGTAAAATATGAACTACAACAAAATATATTACCTTTTCATGTAATTTGCTCTAAATTAAAATCAAACACTTCTTCAATAATTGATACCTACAAGCCTCGAAAACCAAATCAGAAGTCCTCCGTCGATTAACCCAAAATGATCATAAAGGTCAAGTTTGAATTAGATTTAATAGGCTACTAATTATGTAAAACCATACTAACTTTTCTATAAATACACGTTTCACATGACTAACTTTTCTATAAATACACGTTTCACATGACTTCTAACAAACATGTAAACAAACTTTTCTGAGACCACAACAAGCATGACAAAACCAAACAGGCCTTGTAGGTTGGTCGCTCCTCTAAAAATTATAATATCACAAAAAAACTGCTTATTTTTTTAATATAAAATCACAAATTAATTAAATAATTTTAACATTAAAAATAAAAAAATATAATCGATTAACAAATTTTACACATTTTACCCGGTTTACTGCATTTATTAATCTATATTATATTATAAAGCATTCGACTAAAACTTTTAAAAATAATTTTTTATACATAAAATACTATTTATTAATGCATATTACTTAAAATCAAGATTACAAGTAGGATGTACATGAATACATCTTATTAAAGCTTCATGTTTGATTTGTGTAACTAACTACAGATAAACATAATCAAATACATGATAAACATTATTTTAAATATAAAAAATTTAAAATATAATTAAGATAATCGTTGAATTCTAACAGATTACTCAATTATTATCTTAAAAAAATTATTTTATTAAACAAAAAATAAGATAGTTCGTATTTAAACTTCAACTAAATCTATACTAAATTATTAAGCATTTGACAAAAACTTTTAAAAACTATTTTTTATGAATGAAATACTATATATTGATGCATATTACTTAAAATTCAAGATTACAAGTAAATTATGTATAAGTACAACTTATTAAAGCTCCATGTTTGAATTCGTGTAACTAATTGCGAATAAATATAATCAAATAAAGGATATACATTTCATTTTAAAATATAAAAAATCTACAATATAATTAGAATAATTATCGAATTATAACAAAATAATTAATTATTGTCTTTATAATAAAATTATATTATTAAATCAAATATAAATTACTTCGTTATTGAACCTAAATTATATTATAATAAAAAATAGAAATTTTAAATAGTTACTTTAATACTAATATCGATATATTTTTGTCAAATTCCTATGATATTTTCAAATATATATTTTATTTAAAAATAAAAACATCTCGCTTTTTCAAAATAACATAAAACCATACTATAACATCGACTGAGATAAAGAATAAAATGAAATATTAAAATAAATATGTATTTCGCTGTATTACACGAGTACCCTTGTATTTCGTATAAATAAACTCATAAGATAAAAAGAAATACTACAAGACAAAAACAAAATAGTAGTTCTTTGAATCAACATATGCATACATACATATGTACATACATACATACATGTGTAAGTATATATATATATATATATATATATATACACACACAAACACATTTTTTTATGTGTATATATCTATATATATGTCCACCAACTATATGCTTAGCTTAACCCTGAAGAAAATAAAATAGAATAAAAAGAGGGGAAGTTGGAAGCATTTCTGAAGAGAGTGAAATGAGACTGTTATGTGGGTGTGATGAAGAAGAGGAAGAGTTAAGCCGACAGGAAGCGCCGGGAGCCTGCCCGCAATGTGGCGGCAAAGTCGCCACCGTGGACTGTGCACACAAATGGAGGTTTTGCTTCATGCCGATTTGCAATATCACCAAAAGAAGATACATATGTACACTTTGTTCCAAACGATTGGTCTTCATGTACTCTTAATTACCTATTTTTATCTTGTACCACTGGTTGCATCTTTTTATGCCAATTAGACTGGTTCTTCAAACTTTTATTTGTCTGTTTTTTAACCGTATATGTCCGGATCAACTTGTTTACACTTCGATTAATCTTCTAGGGTTTGGAGAGTTGTTAGAAAACCTGTGGCCTCACAGGGACTCGAACCAATGACTTATGGGAGGAGCCTTAGAGCCCCAAGCTTTATTGTCATTTAAACTAATCCCTCAAGGTTGACGCATGTATGAGATATGAAGTCCGGGATGTGTAAGTTGCTATGAACAAGTTCAACCATTCAGTTTTGATTGGTTGGTTTAGTTTTGGTAGGATATATGAAACCCTTTTTTATAAAAGGGTCTTTCTCAAGAGAGGGAGGTTCTATGTGTATATATACATGTTTGATAGTCCGTTTCTAGCCAATGTTGGACTCCAATACGCTCTCTCAAATGGAGGAGAAAGGATGCATGAGTCAATAGGTAGATCTCGATTTTGATACCATGTTCAGAATTGTGAAACACTTTTAATATGTTTATAGCATGTGATTCGTATAATTTATTGTTAGTGTTTAATTAATATACTACAATGTGCACTAGTTTGAGGTCGGATTTCATATACTGGTATAACGATTGTTTTTCTTTTGTTTGTGTGTTTATAACATGAAGTGTATTTAAGGTTAGAATTAAAAAATATTACCATTTTATGAGGTTACTCGCTTTTGGTAATAAGATCTCTTTATCTTATAAAATACAAAAATGGTCGGATAATAACCCAAAAAATAAATTGTGTGAATGTGATATATGGGGACCAGGGACAGAACATCATATTGATAGATTTGAAGTCATGTAAGGACTATTTATTTACCACTTAATGATATGAGTGATTTATTTACCACCTAATGATATGAATAATTTATTTGTGGAGCCATAGGTGTGTGTTTGTTTAAAATTTGATTAAAAATCAAATGACTAGATTATGAAGCCATCGAGGGGACACGGAGTCGTCTTCGCAAGCTCACGGACCTATAAAGAGAGGAAGGGTGCACATGCTCACGTTTTATTGGTGTGATGCAATGGAAAAGAAATAAGAGTTTTGAAAGGTTTACCCGTTTTCTTTTTTCCTTTTATGCCCTTATATTTTATGAAGCTAAACTAAAGATATAACTCGTGGTTTCAGGGTTGGTGTATGTAGTCGCGGTAAGGGCCTTCCTTTGGAAGGACATAGGCTCAAACTTGCTTGTCACAAATATTTTCTTATTTTTCACCATTTAATTTAAAAAATTTAGAAGAAAAAATAGCTGTAATGGTGGAACACAATACCTCTCCTTGAAAAGATAAGTAACCGACTAACAACTTTATAAATTTTTGTAAACATTTTTATATATCTATTTTTTATAGTCAACTGGTTTGCTTGAAAAATTTTATAGGTCTATTCACTATAATAAAAATTGGTTTTATGGGACACATAAAACGTCAAAGTATCTTAATGTAATGTTTTACATGACTTAAATTTATACGACCAAACCCAGAAGGATTCTATCTAGAAGTTTTACAACAAATTTATAGAATGTTTATGAGCGTTTTAACAAGTTTTGTAAGACGCTTTTAAAATAAAGTGTTGTATTCGTTATTTTATACGACATTATTTGAAAAAAAATGTCATATAAAGAAAGGTGTTCTTATAAAAAAGATGAGTTTTTAGGACACTTTTCAAAATTATCCTATAAAATAACTAATACAATGTTTTATTTAAACCGTCCAAAAACTTGTTAAAATGTCTTATAAATCTATTGCAACACATTTAGATTGACCGTCTTATATTTTGATCATTTAAGTTCTATAAAATATTCTATTAGGACGCCTAGACATTCTGTGTATTGTATAAAGCCAATTTTGTTATAATGACCGTTGCGTATAGCCTTAATTCTCGAACTAAATAAACCAATCTAAAAGAACAACGACATGATGAGGAAACATGAATGCTAAAAAGACTGATACCTACACTTTTATTGCTCAACTTCTCTATAATTGAGTTGATGAATACAAAGAGGGACTACCATCTACGCATACTTCTTCATAGAACTATCTAAATAACACTATCTAGATGTTTATAAGAAAGGTTCTAGTTACATAAGTACTTTCTCTTCTCTTGGTCCTTGCTTGAACTTTCTTGATCCTTCTCAAAGGTCATGTGATTGATCTAGAGTATATTGGCTTATCCAAAACCCTCATATGAAACATGATAAAGGGGTGACTTTATGCATTCATCCAAAAAAGAAAAATTCCAACCCTGCCTTTTTATTAAAATAGGCATCGCCCAAACTTAATGATATGAATGGATTATTCGATCATCCAACCTTGTCGTCTGGTCTGGTCCTTCTTCCCGACGGTAAAAAAAATGATTTTTGTCTACAAAAATTATTAATGGAAATTTTCGTCTTATCATCTAGAAAAGACCAATGGTTCGGTAGAATCCGATATTTTTTAAGAAAATACAAACGGATCGTCCAGAAAATATCTGGGTAATCAATCATTGATTTGAATCACCCGGTAATAATTACCCACCAACTTTTATAATAGCTTTTGACGAATCACCCTTTAGCGACATATTTCTAGAGAAAAACACGTAAATAAATGACGGGTGTCGACTCCGGCAAATAATAGAATTTATAAAAAATAAGTCTATTATCTCTAAAACATAACTTGTGATAGCGATAAGTAGGATCGTTTCCTCAGGAACTCGGTGTTAACCATAAGTCCAACACGTAACCAGATGCAAATTCATTAAAAATAATATGTATATATATATATATATGGGGGGGGGGGGGTTTGGAATATTGATAAATGGCCTAAATACGCAAATTAAATTGAGAACTTTAAACAATAGTGAATAAATTCTAGTGATGAGTATAACTGGTTCTTTATCAAATCAGGTATCATTGACTTGTATAAAAATATTTTCCCAATGGATTTTAGACCGGTCGTGAGTGTCAACACGTGCGAAACACTCCGCTTGTCTTTATAGTTAAACTAGCACGTGGAGCTCGATAGATTAGTTCCTAATTGATTAAGTTAATTCTAGTCACAAACGTAAAATTCAACCTACCAATTGCCTTAAGCAATAAACAAGCACCAATCCTAACTAATGAACGGAAACCCGAACATTTAAGCTAGATTACACAGTCCTATAATGCAAATCAATGGACTTGGCTGTCTATTGATGCACTATTTGCTACCAAATAGAAATTAAGAGCAACTACAGATTCCTAATTACAACTAGCAATTCGAATTTAGGCTATAGGATTCAATGGATCCTTCTCAAAACCAAAATCCCAAAAATGAGGAACGGTTTTGAACAAGAATTGCGCAAATAAAATTCAATTAAGTTTCAATGTTAAACAAGTCTGAACAAAATTCAATAAAAATTAGCTATAATCCCATCACTATAAACAAAAACTTAGCAACTCATAGTTCTATTTTGAAACAGAAATTGAACTTACAAATGGTAGAAAGCAGTAAAGTATGAAGAACCCTAGTCTGAAAAATCCATATTCGACTCTAAAATCTGGAAATCGATTTCAGTTTCTTCGATTTCGGTCCTCTAATCAATCTATGCTTCTCCCTCGTTAAAACTTGGTTCTGCCCTCTCTTCTGATCGACTTCTTCTCTCATTCTGTCTCGATCGACCTCTCCTTCTGTTTACGGTTCTGTCCTGCTCCCCGTCTCTCTCGATAGTTTTTGCCTCTAAAAAAACTTCTCTCTGGTGATCGTTGTCTCTCAATCAATTTCCCATTCTTTTTGAACTCCCCCTGCCCATGTCCCTAGCCTCTGCCCATGTTCCTCTCTATCGACCCTCTTCTTCCTTCGTTCATGGCTGCTGCTATTTTTTTCTTCATGGGCTTTGCTTCTTGGGCTGTTGTATGGGCTTTGCAGCAGCTGTTTGGATGGTGTTTGGATGCAGCTTGGCTACTTCCATTTTCCTTATCCGTAAGGCCTGCTTCCATAAGATGAGACCTAAAACAAATGATCAAATTGTCCTTTTTTTTTTCTTCTTCTTAAATGGCCTCATATAATTAAATATCAACTTAAGTTAAATTGGACATTTTTAAGCATCTACTTAACATTAATTGAAAGGTAAGTTTGACATAAAAAATGTATAAACTTGTACTTATCAAATTCCCCCACACTTAGATCATTGTCCGTCCCAAAAATGACTTGAGTTAGCACGTAGTTATAAAAATCGAATCTAACGAGAATGTCAACACATATAGCATATCATGAGTTTGAGATTTGCAACAAAGCATTRAAAAGAGGATGCACACGCAATCAAGTAGACACAAGCTAATCTCGAGAACTCTCATGAATGGGATTAACAAAGCAACACTCGATTCATTCCTTGGGTTAAAGTATATCGCTCAAATCGTCAATGCTAGTGTACCTACCATATACTTGAAAAGTCTCTCACCCTCTATTACTTGGATAAAATACATGCTTATAAATCAAAAGGTCTTAAAAGGTGTAATGAAAAACAAGGCTTTGGGTACGGTAGGGAAATATTTAAGAGAAGTGACTAAGACCTAACACCAACGAGAATCCGACTACTCAACCACACTTTATGTTATTTTTTAATATTTTTTTTACATAGGTCTTTTGTATCTATCTTTGAAGCTCATTTCTTTTCAGACGATAGGGAATAGAGATGAAACGCTTATATTCAACCATATTGCCATTTTCGTTGTCTATTTTATTTCTTTTGTTTTTTATTTTTTATTGACGACGTAATTTTTCTCTTTTTGAATTTTCTGTTTTTTTTTTTCAATCTTTCCTTTCATTTTTTCTTTATTTCCTTCCCCAACATTCAAATTCTACTTTCAAGTATAATGGGATAAGGATCACTCTATTGGTGCTTAGTCGGGTGAGTTGTGTTTGAGTTGGTTTATGATGTGGGCGACAAACACAATAGGCTAAGGCTCAAAGTGGTGTACAAAAGGGTAATTATAGCATAAAAGGGTAGGCTAAAGGCTAATGGCTTAACATGAAAAATGATCAAACGATG